CTGGCTTGTCTGACCATTCTCCTCTGCCTGACCCTCTGTACCACGCTGCCCGCTACCTGCTGAACCTGGCCTGTGACCCCGACCATTCTCCGCTTGCTCCCCCTGTACCTACCTGCCCGACTGATATTGATCCGGCCTGCCTGACGACGCTTGCATTATATGTACTGTTATCTGTGGGTGGTTGGTTGGTTTGTTTGCACTGTGTTATGTTTTAGTATTGCACTGCGTTTATGTTTGTATGGTTAGTGTTAATAAATTACATTGTTTATAACATATCTGAAGTCTGCGTTTCCCTGCGTCAGTCACACACCTCTGGTCATACCCGGGAGCCCTGACAGGTAGTTGTTAAAGCTGGCCAGCCTAAACAAAGTTACCCTGTGGCCCCCTGGAAACCTGATGGCACCATGGTGAGACTGCCAAGCCCATGGAAATACTACTAGGACTGACGCAGGATCCCAGTCAGGAGGCCTTTGTGTCCTGTACATTAAGGACTCTACCCCAACACCCAGATATGCTGGTCTAAGGGATTTGCAAAGAGACCGCTCAGTCCCACTACTTTTCTAGGAGGGGTTCCTCGTAAAATCATTCAAGGACTTGAAAGAATAGTTAATTACAATGCACTGCTCAAGTGCCTTATTGCTTAGGCTATGTGCTGTGTTGTCTTCTTTCCCTAATGATGATTGCAGGTTATCCAAGCCGGCCATCTTTTCTGCCGGGAGTACAGAAGACTTTCATTGATTTTATGGAGGGTTTCCCTTCAGGGGCAGGCACTCCATGATTTGTTAATATTTACATATGTTATTGTATATATTTTCGTGTTTTTTTCTTGCCATTAGCTGCAGAGAGGTAGCTAGGTTGTAAATTCGTACACAAAATTTATTTTTCTATGGTCTAATTTATCTGTACACATTTTATTCCCCCTTCCCAGTTTTTGTACCCTTTCCCCCTCCCATTTTTCTGTATAGGGTGCCCTTCGCCTGGAACCAGGAGCAAATTTTGTCCTTTTTGCCCCCCAGCCAATGAATACATGGCTGTTTTTTTCAGAGTGGGGGGGTGAATATAGCACACTCCTAGTTAGCCCTCTTCTCTATCAATTGAACGCTAACTCCCCCTAGCTGAGTAGCAGCATGGGTGTAATAGCCAGAAGGTCATGAGTTGAGAGGCTCTGCAGGCCAGCCACTCTGAAATTTTCCCCTGCTCTGGGGCTTTGGAGGAAGACCTAGAGACAGTGGGTTGATCTGAGGAGTGGCTGGCTTGCACCCTTGGGGAATCCTAGCCAAACCCCAACAGAAGGCTTAGCAAAGGGCTGGGAAAAACTTAAAAGCGTTGGAGCCTGCTCAGTTATAGGAGAGTTCAGGTGGAAGATAGAGAGGAATATGTGAGGCTGAAGGCAGGAGGCTGCGAGGAGGCCAAGGGGGGGTCTACCTGCTGGAGCTGGAAAGGAGGAAAGCTCAGAGCTCACTGTCCTCCAGAGCGAGGACCTCCTGTATGGCAGGGAAGGAGTGGCCCAGCTGATAGGCCTGGTAGCAGCCATCAAACCACCAGTGGTACAGGAGAGGATCCGAGTGAGTATACCTGCACCCCCTGGGCAGATAGGGGAGTATATTTCCTTATTAATAAAATTAGTCACTATTTATCGAGGTAATGCGCAAGGTTTGTGCGCTCTCTTTCATCTTCCTCTACAGTTTTATTAAGCTTCCCCAGCTTCATGATAGAGCTGCACAACCTCTGATCACCAGTGGATGAATACACAACACGCTGCTTGTCACTAACACCTGTTTGATCTAAGTCCTTGAGTGCAGGAGATAATGGATCTTTGGTGACAGATAGGGGAGGAATTCTGGTGGGAAACCAGATTAGCCACCTACTAGTGACTGTTCATCTCTTAAAGTGAATGGAGTTATCCCTGAACAGGGGATCTGGTTCCAGATTGCTGGGTGAAAAGGAAAAAAGTTCATCTAGGGTCTGCGTTGGTACATAAAGGAGATGCTGGCTAGCTCTCCCAGAGAGGTTACGTTGTAGTGAGAGCTTGTAAATAGTTCCAGGATGTTTTTCTCATTATATCAGTACCCTTGGGCATCCTGTACACTCTTAACCCTATCCCAGTTCAAATCCCCTAAAGAAAACATCAAAAACCAAAGGTCAAGGACTGATTTCTGACTTTGGAGTCAAGCCTTTGTGAATATGTGTGATGCCTGGCTGTTCAGGACTATAGGGGACCCAAATCTTCTAGTGACTCCTAAGGTGGTAGTGCTACATATACAGTATAATGCCAAAAGTATTGGGACACCCCTCCAAATCATTCGATTTATGTGTTCAATCACTTCTATGGCCACAGGTGTGTAAAATCGAGCACCTAGGCATGCAGACTGCCTCTACAAACATTTGTGAAAGAATGGGCCGGTCTCAGGAGTTCATTGAACTAAAGTGTGGTACTGTGATAGGTTGCCACCTTTGTAATAAGTCCATTCTTAAAATTTCTTTGCTATGAAATATTCCACAGTCAACTGTTAGTGGTGTTATAACAAAGTGGAAGCAACTGGGAAAAGAAGTCGCCAACTGTCTGCACAGTCAATAGCTAAAGACCTCAAACCGTCATGTGGCTTTCAGATTAGCACAACAACAGTGCAAAGAGGACTTTATGGATCAGGTTTCCACGGCTGAGCATTTGCATCCAAGTCCTATATTACCAAGGTCAATGCAAAGAGTCGGATGTAAAGAGTGGTGTAAAGTACGCCACCACTGGACTCTAGAGCTGTGGAGACGTGTTCTCTAGAGTGTCAAATCACGCTTCTCTATCTTGCAATCTGATGGATGTGTCTAGGTTTGACATAAGTGTAAAGTTTGGTGGAGAAGGGATTATGGTGTGGGACTATTTTCAGGGGTTGGGCTTGGCCCATTACTTTCAGTGAAGGGACCTCTTAAGGTGGCAGCATACCAAGACATTTTGGACAATTTCATGCTCCCAACTATGTGGGAACAGTTCGGGGATGGCCCCTTCCTGTTCCACCATGACTGCACACCAGCGCAAAAAGCAAGGTTCATAAAGACATGGATGAGTGAGTTTGGGGTGGAGGAACTGGACTGGCCTGTACAGAGTCCTGACCTCAACCCAATAGAACACCTTTGAGATGAATTAGAGCGGAGACTGAGAGCCAGGCCCTCTCGTCTGACATCACTGCCTGACTTCATAAATGCTCTTCTGGAAGAATGGTCAAACATTCCCATAGACACACTCCTCAACCTTGTGGACAGCCTTCCCAGAAGAGTTGAATCTGTTATGACTCCAAAGGGTGGACCAACACAATAATGAACCCTACGGACTAAGACTGGGATGCCATTAAAGTTCATGTTCCTGTAAAGGCAGGTGTCCCAATATATTTGGCAATATAGTGTATATTGCTAAAAGTTGACATTCATTATGGGCCAAGCAATGCCACATTCCCATTCATCTCTCCATAAATCCATTCAATAATTTTAGACTCTATACTAAAGTAGGTACGATTGACATGAATAACATTTTCCACATTTTCCTCAAGTACAACTAAAAGTTATACCAAATAGCACATTTGCACTTTTTGAGAGCTGTGGCCTGAATCTTTCATGCTCTGCTTGTATTCATGACCTCAGTTTAGTGTTTCCACTTAGCGGTTCTCTGCCATGCCATAGGAGAGGACATTTTGCCAAACAAGGTCAGAGGTGTGGAAATTTAAAAAAAAATAAATACTTTTCCAAGGACTAAATCTGTGTCCCAGTCTACTTGTCTCTCATGACAATCTACTTGGCCTGTTAAAAAACAAGTTTTAACCAACCCCATATTTAAATCTGAAGTGCTTTTAGGAATGTCTGGTGCTGTCACGTACCTGGTTGGGGAGCCTGACGTGGAGAGAAGACATCCTCTTATGACTCCCGCTCGGAGCCCCTGATAGTGGGAACAGAGGCCGCAGAGCCAGGAGTGGCACGAGTGCCGGGTGGATCTGGAGCTGGCGGCAGGTAGCTGGAGACCCAGGAGATCCGGATGCAGGCCAGGTGCGGATGCAGGAACGTAGGTGCAGCAGCAGGTATGGCGACAATCAGGATGCAGACTGGGACTGGATACCAGAGCGTGGATGCAGCAGCAGGCAGGTATGGCAGTGACCAGGATGCAGGCCAGGTGCAGGACCGTGGGTGCAGCGGCAGGTAAGTACGGCAGCCGTCAGGATGTGAGCCAGGTACAGGTGCAGGTAAGTAGATGCAGCAGAGTCAGACAAGCCGGGTCAGTATCAAGCAGACAGATAAAGTACAAGGGAGCAGGCAAGTGGATGGTCAGGGATAGCCTAGGTCGGTGCAGGCGAAGTTCTTTCTTAGTCAGGCAAATCAGAATACAGGCAACAGGATCAGGTAATATGTGCAGGAACGTTGTAGACCAGGAGGCATTCATTTTACTGTTCTGCAGGTTTAAATAGCCTGCCTGGCGTGACGTCTATGCTTTCTGAGCATGCACAAGTTTCCACGCTACTGCGCATGTGTGCCCACATGCTGCCACACCTGCGCACTCGCACCGCCACGGCCCGAGGGGATCCGTCACCATCGCACAGCTACACGGCAAAAGGATCCCTGACAGGTGCTTTTAAAAACAAAAAGGGGCTTTATGGTGACTTAAACGTTTAATATATTTAACATTGGGCTGTCTATCCCCTCCTCTCCTCCCTGCTTGTCTCCAGCACCGCATCCAGGGACTAGCAGGGAGGATAGAGACCTTGCAGTGTAATAAGCACTGATTGGGTGCTCCTCAGGAAAGGACAGTGTCAGGCTTATCCTTTACCCCTTTCACTGCCAGGGCCGTTTTTGCATACGTTTAAAAAGAAAATCACTTTAGACCTGAAGATTACATAAGACCCCCAAAACATTTTATATTTTTTGAAAGCAGAGGCCCTGGAGAATACAATAGTGGTAGTTACTTTTTTTTTTTTTTTTTAAATCAAATGATATTACTTCAAAAGCAGGGGTGGACTGACAACTCATGGGGCCCCCGGGCAATCGGGGATCATGGGCCCCCTGTGTCCTTGCCCAAACTCAAAAAAAGCCTATGAAAAAGGTACCAGGGGCATCTCATGGGGCCCCCTACTGACCCCGGCCCTCGGGCAGTGCCCGAGTTTCCAAATGGTCAGTCTGCCCCTGCTTTAAAGTTAATTTTAGGAAAACAAAAAGCAAGAAATTACCCAATTTTTTGGTAAAATGTAAATGAGGTAGTGCTAAGTTAGATATCCAACATGTCAAACCTTAAATTTGCATGAGCTTGTGAAATGGTGGCAAACTTTAGTACCCTATATTCTCTATAGGCAATGCTTTTAAAGCCCCTTAAGGGATAGGTCATCAGTAGAGTGTTAGGGAGGAAATCTGTTGCTAGAATTATTGCTCTCATGAGTAACATGAGTATCGCAATTGAAGTTTTCATCTGTAGGTGCTTTTACATTTGTATGTGCGTATATGCAGGGCCTCAATTTTTTTTTTTTTTTTTTTTTTGGGGGGGGGGGGGTATGTGCTTGGATGCAATGTTATTTCCAACAGTTAAAAAAAAAAAAAAAATGTTTCTTTTACTTAACTTTTTCTTTCACCCTGGATGTCTCCCCTGTACTCCACTGGATGTAATGCAGTGCACATTGCACTGCATTACATTCTTTCCCAGCCTCGATGGGCGGGAAATCTGTCAACGGGGGTCCCGGAAGTGACATCACATCGACGACAGGACAAGGAGAGGGGAGCAGACGTGTCCGCACTCCTCCATTCCCACTGAACTAGTTCTGGGCACACAGATGAGCAAGGAGAGCCAGGGAGAAATAGTGGGCAGGGGGGGGAGGTTCGAACATGGGGGGGGCAGGTGTTCTGACACTGTAGTGAGCTGTGTGGAACCAGTTTGGGCAGCACTGCCACCCAAATGCTTCACATTGTTGGCAGTAATTCTGGCACCAATTCTAGCACCAGAAATCCTCTGTAAATCTAAAGTGCTAACCTGTAAAGGCATTTTAAAAATAACCTATGAATTGTAAAATTGATGTAGTTTGTCGCCATTGCATGATCTAACATCTTTTCCAATTTACAAAAAAATTGGGTTATGTGTTTTATCTTTTTGCATTAAAATTCAAAAAAGTGCATTTTTCTCCAAAAATTGCATTTGAAAAACTATTGCGCAAATACCTTGTGACATAAAAACTATAGCAGTCACCAGTTTATTCTCTATGGACTCTGCTTTAAAAAATATATATAATGTTTGAGGGTTATAAGAAATTTTCAAGCGAAAATTACTAATTGTAACATGTAAACAAAAAATGCTAGAAAAGGCTTGATCTTCAAGTGGATATTATAAAAGAACATGACTTACTATCTCAGCAGTGATTTTTAGTTCTTGTACAGCAGGTAGTCAAAAGGGAATACACAGGAACTGTGTATGTTACTGGGATCCATTGTAATTTTTTTTCATGCCTTATGGTTTAACATGAATACAGACTGTCACATTTTTTTTAACTTAGACCTCATTCTTGTGACCCTTTCTTAGAACCCACCGTTCATGTTTAGGAACACTGTTCCAAGACCCTTCTCAAAGTTGCACACGGCACTATATCATTGAATATAGGTGTTTTTCTTCGTATGTGACTTTGATATTAACATGGGAGTAGGTATAATATGTGTATTAATATCTTCTCCCATCTACATTGCTCTTCCTTCTACAATTAGGCCCCAGTAGTGGGTGAAACACTTTAGAGGAGGAAAAATGGTTGGAGTGTCTGCCACTTGTTTAACAAAGCTCATTGAACAAAGATAAAGTTCAGGGGAAAGGACTTAAGGTACTTGAGGAAATATTTTTGTTTATTCAGTGCTGTTAATGTATGTTTAATGGAGAGGGAAATATATTTCTTATCACAAGGAGGAACAATGGCAATCTGGGCATGTTTTCTTACTTACTCGATTGATTGTTCTTAACAAGAGCAAACAGGCAGCTGTTGTACACCGAAATAATAAACATGAGATATTAGCTAAATTGATCAGGTAGCTGTCTTTTCATTAAGAATTTAGAAATAGGCAAAATGGACTATCCCAGATTACATGAATCTGTAGTTCTTTGAATCGCAATAAGGTGAATTTTCAAATGTTTGGCACCTTAACCCACAAAGAGAAGAGTTGTTTTTGGGAAATCTGCTATGGGCGAGCCTGAGGTGAACGGGTGCAGAGCGGAGCAGGGAGACTTGCAGTGGCCGCCAGTCACTAAGGGAAAAGGAGACCTGGCAGAGAAGCGGAGGAGTCATGTGATCGGTCAGGTGACTGGGAGGAGAACTTGGGAGCCTGGAGCCGAACGCTGGAGAGAGCAGCATGGACCCGCTCTGTCCCATCCCTAAATGGGCCATTGGCTTGGGCCCTCAGCAGGGCATCAGATCCCTTATCGGGAAAGCGAAGCCTGAGTGGCGAACATGGAAGTAAGTGGCATGGGGGGAGTACGAGATGGATCTGGTCACAGGACACAAAGTAGAAACCCGAGGAGGAGACTGATGTCCCTGGGAGCTCCCTCACATAAAGGATAATCCAGAAAATGAACAGCCAGTGTGAAATAACATGAGTGAGTGGCCACGGGAGGTTTTAAATCCCCAAAGCTGAGCAATTGTATACCTGTATGTTACAGTGGAGGCTGGGGGCATCGAGGACATAACACTAGTGTTTGGGGGCCCCAGAAGAAGTGGATGGGACAGTGTACTTAGGACTTAAGCTGAAAAGAGAACCTGTATTTGGCACTAAAACCCCCCGTACACTTTGAATATTATGAAGAGTAGATCTGTTAAGGGAAAAAAACCCTCAGGAGAATTGAAATACAAGTACAATAAAAAAGTACATGCCCTTACAGGAGAAAGGCCAGAAGAACTAACCCAAGAAGGATATAGAGAGGAATATCATACTGAAGATCAGGGGAGATTATCTTTCGGGGGACCGGACAGAAACCAGCTGAAGGAAATCTCAAATCCTGAAAGTGAAAGGGGGAAAAAAATATGGAGGAGCAAGAGAAAGGACACAAATGCCCACAAAAGCAGAAATTGCAGATATGTTTGTAAAACTAGAAAACCTCATAAAAAACCGAAATGGCACTATTACACCGTGAAATGGGACAAGTCCTATCACAAGTTGGGGAAACAGAAGGGAAATTGAAAAAACAAGCAAAAGTAATAAATTAGAAAGAGCAAGTAGAGGCATGAAAAAAGAACAGAGACTGTTATCCTATAAAATAGAAGACCAGGAAAACAGAGACAGAAGGAATAACTCTAGGATCAGAGGTTTACCAGAAATAACACAAGGAGAAGATTTAAGAGACATTATGAGAAGATTGTTTAACCCAATAATGGGAAGGAAAGAGACAAAACATCTGAAAATAGAAAGAGTGCATAGGAGAAGAAGACCCCAAAAAATTACATCCGACATTCCCAGGGACGTGATAGTAATGTTCCACTACTTATGAAGACAGAGAAACTATCTGGAAAAAGCTACATGGAATCCCAGATATAAAATATGGAGAGACAAAAGTGCAAATTTTTGCAGAAATAGCACAAAAAGACACTAGCCAGAAGAAGAACCTTGAGACCATTGCTATATCAGATGAAGAGTAAAAATATCAGTTATAAATTGGGGTTTCCCGGCATGTCTGATCGGGTGGAGGGATGGGAGATCGGCAAATTTGAGATTCCCAGAAGATCTAAATGACTTTTGTGACAAATTAGATTTACAAATGTTAGATATGGAGTGGTGTGTCCAGGTGTGGACTGAAAACTCATGGGGCCCCCGGGCAATAGGGGATCATGGGGCCCCTGTGTCCTTGCCCAAACTCAAAAAAGCCTATGAAAAGGTACCAAGGGCATCTCATGGGGCCCCCCACTGACCCCGGCCCTCGGGCAGTGCTCGAGTTTCCAAATGGTCAGTCCGCCCCTGGGTGTGTCACAGTCTGGGTCAGGTTCAGAGACCAGTTGCTATAGCAGTGTAAGGCTTACCTGAAACCAGCAGGATAGGTACACCAGCAGGTCACCCTGGGAAATGACGCAGGCTCACCTGAGGTGCGGGATCTAAGCACTAACCAGTTTTCACCAGAGCTCCTAATGGTGGAGATGGATTTGGCTGCATGATAGTACCAGGTTACAGATCTCAGGATCACCCCACCAGGGAATGAGCAAGCCAGAATCCAATAGCAGATCGAACAGGTTAGAGATCAAGCAGAAGCGGAGTCAGTCAACAAGCCAAGGGTCGGTCACAAACAGTAGTAGATGAGGATGAGGCAGAATCGTAGTCCAGGAACAAGCCAAAAGTCGGTAGCGAAGGTATAGACGGCAGCAGGAGAGACAAACGGGATATTGGCTGGAGAAGGCACAATAATCTGGCAAACAGGAAATGCAGACACATGGCTTTTATCAGGAAGTTCATGGGAGAAGCAAGGGGTTCAAGGCTCAAGATAAATAAGGTCAAGGTAGAATCATCCAAATAATTGTCAAGAGAGCTGTCCAGCATTCCAGGTAGCTCAGCAAGAAGAAACATTGCCTCTCACTGCAGAAGGCCCAGGTTCAAACCCAGGCTCTGACAGGGTGGTCAGTAGAAAGGAAAGAGAAAAATAGATTATATGAGGAGAACTGTCCGAGAGTTAGTAAGAAAGAGGGTGGTGTGAGGAGGGGAGGTGAGAGATGGATGCTTCAATGTGTGTCCAGAGAGAAGAAGCTAGGAGCCTAAAGAACATAAAAAAAAGTTACATCAATGCCAGTTGATGGATGCCTGGAGGGTTAAACACCCAAAGGAAAGAGACTATGCAGCACATAGGATGTATTCAAGACTGGATTATATTTGATTGAACATAGACTCTTGGAGTCCGATGAGAACTAATATAGAAGTCATTTCTGTAGCAATCGTACCCACAGAGATGGATGCGGTTCAACCATTTTGCTCCAACCTCCATCTTGGCAAAGGATTGTCCATCTTGTACAAATATATCTTTCCTCATCCCCCTCCCTCTCTGTTCATCCACAGTGACATGTGGCCTGAGTGATGAGAAGGGTCACAGGCGGCCAAAGCACATGGAACTCCGAGCTATAAAACCTCATGAGCTGGGTGCCAAGCTGTCTAAGAAACTGTGCAATCTGGCACATTGTAAAAGTATAAACTGAGTCCCTCACTGAACTTCAAAAGACATTCCAAGGGGTCGTAAAAACAGACTTACTTTTAAAAACTCACTTTTCATATAAGTTGATATCTTCACGTAGGACATAACTACCTCAACATGGAGCCTATATTCGGAAGGCTCAGTTTGAGGCCATTCTCCTGGTAGGTGACACCCCTTAGCTGGCATACCTAGAAAAGCAGAAACGTATATCTCTTGAACCATTCAAGTGTATATTTCATATTTCATATCGAACCGTTCCACAGATGCGTCTGCATATTTATCTACCCACTGGTGGACGGTTACATGTACCTAGGAAAAGTTATGGATCATAATAGCAGCTACGAGAGCTTCGAGTCATAACTTCGGGCTCCACCTACCCCTCCCTCCCTAAATAAGGCAATTGGTTCTTTGTTGTAAGGAGACACCCTGCTGAGATTGTAGAAACAGGGCTGTTATGCTTGGAGTGGGTGTGAGAGAAAGCAGAGTCTCTGCCCTGTAACATTGAAACTAGCAGTAGGGACAAGAAATCCTTTTGACTTATGACACTTGAAGCTTCTTAACCCTTAACTTGCTGATTGGGAAGTACTTTAACCCTTTAACCTTCTTTTTGTTATTTTGTTGTGCCATCGTTCTTTGTATATATATATATATAGGCTACATCTTTTTTCTGTAAATATCTTTATTGCACCCTTTTGACCTTTTTAGTAATAAATCTTACTTTCTGAAAGTGTTGAACTGTTTCTAAAGCTTTTTAATGCAACTTACAAATTCCTGCCGTTGAAGAGCACTACTGTGTGTTTAACCCTCTGTGTAACCTGTCTGCGGTGACAGTGGTATACAGACAATTATCTAACCATCAGAGTGTTATTGATAATATTGCCAAGTTTCCTCTTTCTCTGTACAAAAAGGAGGTGGTGGCAGTGTGAAGGGTTAATTGCGTAATTAACCTGACCCAGGAACAATCTCAAGCGCGCTCAAGCTGCCGGTACATCAATTTTTGGTCCAGTGAGCTGGAAAATCGTTGTGCAGGGTGCAGCTGGGCGTGGCATTGTTACGCATGTGACATCGCGGTTTTAGATTGGCTAGTCCTTCTGTCACGAGTTTGGTGAGAAGGGCTGGGGTCTTACATCACGATAGTCACATATCTATGTCTATATCAGATATATCTGTGTCTCAGATATATGTCTATATCAGATCATGCCCCTGTCACACTGAGACTACAGTTTGGAAGAGAACAGAACAGTATAAATTTGTGGCATTTAAATGAGTCCATATAACAAAACCCAGAAGCAAAAATAAGAGTAAATCAGGGAATAGATCAGTACTTTGAGTTAAACGAATATGAGGAGGTCTATTGCCACGATATGGGAAGCCATAAAGGCTGTATTAGGGGTATACTGATCGCAATAGGGGCGGCGATAAAAAATGAATGGGAAAAAGAATTAAGACATTAATGAAAGAACTATACCAGCTGGAACAACTACATAAAAAGAACATAACTTTAGAATTACAACAAGAGATAATAAAAAGATGAGTTGAAGGAATCTCTGGAACAAGGAAGATTTTTAATGGGGTTTTGAAGGAAAGATATCAGTGGGGGAACAAACCAGGGAAATATCTGATGAAGTTGAAAGAAAAGAAATTAATACATTTTATAGATTATTATATTATTATATATTATATTATATATTATTTTATAATAATTAAAAAGGTGAAATGGTGTATTCAACCACCGATGTAGCTAACACATTCTAGAGGTACTATAGCGGTTTATATGGAGTAGAAGGAAAGAACCAGAAAGACTGAGGAGGAGAGGAAGAAAAGGAGGCTTCTGCATGAAGCTGGTTTACTTAGATTAGATTAAACTAGACTAGCAGCTTTGGATAACCCAATATTAATAGTCAAGTCAATTTAGCATTAAAAAGTACAGCTGTAGGAAGGAGTCGCGGACCTGATGGGTTTACTGCAAGATACTATAAGAAGTTTAAAGAAAATCTAGTTCCTAAACTGTGTTCATATGTGAATGCACTAGGAGAGGAGAAAAAGATGAGGGAGGAATCGTTACAGGCATAAATCACAGTAATACCCAAGGAGGGGAAATATTGGTCTCAGTGTCCCAGCTATAGACCCATATCTTTGCTGAACACTGATATAAAATTGTATGCGAAGGTACTAGCTACCAGGACAAAAGAGGTGATGTCTGCTTGGATACAATTAGACCAAGTGGATTTATTCTGGGCAGGGAGGTAAAGGATAATGGTTTAAGAACATTGCTGACCCTACAAAAAAAATGAAAGTAGAGGAACCAGGAATTATTCTGGCAGTAGAAGATGTTGAAAAAGCTTTTGATAGAGTTGACTGGGGATTTATGTTCGATATGCTGTGAACACTAGGAATCAAACCTAGAATGATACAATGGATTACAAGAGTTATATATAGAGACCCCTCAGCTGCAGTGAAGGTAAACTGTTCATTATCAAAAAATTTTAAGATGTATAATGGCCCAAGACAGGGATGTCCCCTCTCCCCTGTTGCTGTTTGTTATTTCCATGATACTGCTATTAGCAACTGTTAGAAATAGTGTAGATGTTAGGGGAATGTGGACATGGGATGTTGAACATAAAGTGACAGCATATGCAGATGATATGCTGTTTTATATTAAAAATCCCAGATTAACATTACCAAGCCTAATGAACAAACTGAAAGAATATGGGGAGCTACCCAACTTGAAAATTAATCCCTCGAAAAGTGAGATATTAAATGTAAATATTGAAAAGGCTGAGAAACAAATTTTACAAAAAGAGTTCCCCTTTAAATGGAGAGAAAAAGAATTAAAGTACTTGGGAATAAAATTAACATTGCATATAAAAAATCTGTATCAGGCAAATTATATCCCACTGATAAATGAGATAAAAGATGAACTACGGGAAAGCTGTCTTGGATAGGTTGGATAAACATAGTTAGGATGATCATAGTACCAAACGTTTTATATAAATTTAATATGATTCTAATATACCTTCCCGGGTCTTTCTTCAGGGTTCTCAAAAATATTATACTTAGATATGTGTGGAATAACAAAAAACCAAGAGTCAAGTATGAAGTTTTGTGCTGCAATAAAAAAAAAAGGGGGGGATTAAGTATGCCAGATTTTAGGAGGTATTATAATTCGGTGCTATTATCACGAATTGTGGATTGGATACACAATATAAAGGGGAGAAGTTGGGTAAGAGCGGAAAGTGCACTTAGTAAGGCACCATTAGAAGAGCTTATTTGGATACTACAGGAATTTTGCACTTGGAATGAGGACACAAACACTTTGACATAGAATGTATTCAGGATTTGGGATGAAATACACAAGCAGAAGTAATGGAAATGTAATTCACTGTCAAACCCGTTGGCGGGAACTATATTTTTCCCACCCAGAAATGATAATATTTCAGTGAAATGGATATTGGATAAAAATGCATGTTTAAAAGATATTGTAGATAGAGGAGTATAATGTTCGTTACACAAGATGAAGAGTAAAAAGGAAATATTTTCTACACTGGATGAGTGGCGATACTGTCAAATTAGACATTTTGTTGCAACACTTCCACAACCACTAAGGAATGAGGATGAAATGTATCCATTTGAGCAACTGTTGAATATATATGGAATATAGAAACATAGTACCTCAAGGATATATAGAATACTCATTGAAAGAGGCATTAACATCCCAAACATTTTTTGAGAAGTGGGAAGTGGAACTTGGAACAAAACTGAATGAGCAACAAAAAAATACAATGTTTAGTTTAACACATGGGGCGGTGAATATGAATATAGTTGAAATGAATTATAAGTGCCTAATAACATGGTATATTACACCTAATGTAATGCATAGAATAAGGCTAGAAATTTCATCTCAGTGCTGGAGAGGATGTGGGAGTAAGGGCACAATGGCACATA